ATCTTAAGAAATATCTGATTAGGAAGAATTTAATTCCTCTTTAAAACTGTATTATTTTAAATAGTAAATTATATAGAAACACGGATATGTGCCACTATTGATGTTTTTCTTAGTTTTGTGGACTGATTTATTCTTAAAGCTTTTGTGATTTAAAATAAGTTGAAGCGTGGGGTTTTTTCTTTATCTCGCTTATCTGAATCTGAAATAAGAGCTACTCTCCATCTACAATGTGTATATCCATACACAACATACTAAAAGAGCTCATACGAAAGCACTTTTTTTTTTTTCTTGTAGTAGTATAAGGTCTGTTGGAAGTCTTCAGCAGAGCCATGAATGATGTTTATTTTAGCCTTTTAGTAAGAACTTGCTTTCAAAAGACTAAATACTTTAATTTGAGTTTCTTTTTTCTATTCTGTGAAAACATATTGTTTGTATTTTCATTTAGACACACTGGAGTGATTTTAAGTTTTTCTTTGTTATAGAAACTGTAACTAACATGCTAAGAAGTGAAATGCCACTTAAAAAAAGGTTTAGAAAGCTGTATTTAAACCTACAGCCCTTCTTTGGGCTGTTCAGAGCTTGACAATAATAAATATTCAAGGTTAAGATGCATTTACAGTAATGAGAATGTGCGTAAATTCAGTAAGATGTTTTAAATCTTTGTGTTGTTAGAAAAAAAACAAACAGAAAATAACAGAAAACGTAACAGAAAAATGCCACCAATGGAAGATTTTCTAGTTCTTGCCTGTCATCTTAGGAAGATGAAACATGAGATGTCATATAGGTGGTGAGGTTTTGCTAAAGTCCACGTGCTGTTTCCAGTCTCTTCTTCGCAGGCTGGCGTGACAGAATGTGCTCCTTGTTCTCCAGTGCAATCTTGTAATAAAAAACCAGATGAAACACGGATATATCGTAAACTGTTGGAGCATACTGTCTTTCAGCCATAGACAAAGCTGCATGGAATGATCTGAGAGCTGCATGGTGTTTTCCAGTATGGTTTTCGGACTAGTACGTGGAGAGAGGAGATAAAATTGTTCAAGCAGGGAATAGCTGGGAATAGAAGGTGGAGAGAATCAATAACGAACAGAAATTCTTCAAAGATAGCCTCTGCTTTCCTGGGCTTCTGTTTCCCTTTTACTTGCTTCCCCCCACCCCGCCCATCTTCAGATTGAAATTATTGTTCTGATGGTAATTTACGACCTAATTCATCAGTCTGTCTTTCATGCGAGATAGGACCACATTGGTGAATCTCACGGTGCTGTTTAATGCTGCTGAGAGACAAGAGTAGAGCTGCAGAATGGGAAAATAAATAATACAAAGGTGCATGGTATTGGAGTTGTATTCTGTGCCATGTTGAAGCGTCCTCCTAATAGGTTTCAGGGGGAAGGGGTGGATTATGACTGTCTATAGAAGACTAGATATGGGAAATAGCTTTCTTTCAAAGCTTTGTAGACTCTTGTCTAGGCTACCTTAAGGCTGTACCTGTGTGCAGTAGCACTGTTAGGGTCAGTCTCAGGTGTGTATTTATCTGTAGGATGTGTGGAAACTAATGGAAGCTTATACTATTTGAAGTGCATTTCAAACTGCAGTGAAAGCTTGGTATAAATGCATTTGGGAAGGTTGGGAACTTCATCAGGCAAGGATTTTTCAAGATTCTTGTACTAATTAATTCTTCTTATTGCTCTCCCTTTTAAATTGTTCAGATATATATTTATTGCAACCAAAACGTCTTTGAGTTGGGAAATAGTTCAGGGAATCATCTGTTTACTCACATTTCTGACATCTCATGGTCACTTTTTTTTGGTGTGCCTTAAGCCTAAAATGCATATGTTTGCAACTGTTTTGATTTTTCAAGATGGTCTTGAAAGAGTAGTCGTATTCACAGATTCAAAGCTTTTGCTTTGTTTCATCTCTCGTAACTGCTTTATTTTGCCTGCTCTTCTCCAGACATATGGTGTGTATACTGCAAGTGCTTTAAAGCAAGTTTTTCGTGTTCCTTGCTCTTCAGAGCTTCTAATACAGACTTTGTCACTGTTGGTTTCTTAAATGTATTGTATTGCTGTGTACAGCGGTAGGCTGTACTAATTCATTTTATTGAGTGGTTCATTCACAACCACGAGTTTGTCTTTTGTGGAAAGTCTTAATTGAAAGTCTTCAGCTGGCACTCAGTAAGATGGTCTCTCTTAGAATCATATAATAATAGGAGAGGAAAACAAACGTGCGTGCTTACTAACCTTAAGTTTGTAGGCTTTGCTTTTCTGTGCCAACAGCTCTTGGCCAGATCTTCATTTCATCACCCTTAGGACTGCTTTGACAGTTCTTTCAAATGAATTATTCTTTTATTTCCTTTCTGTGTTCCTGAGACCCGCCTGCTTCATGATTTATGAAGGAAATATTCTCATAATCTCTTAATATTAATTCTCTAATTCCTGTATGAGCACAGACCTGTGTCCGTATGCTTATGCATATATGCACTGTATGTATATGTAACAGGATTTTTAACATCTCAGCAATGATTTGGAGTATCCCCATGGAACATTTTGAGTTGTATTTTCAAGTTGTAAAACTGATATATACCTGAAGCTGTTGTAACATGCCAAGAGAGTAGTTGGGAGCAGAGCGGGTTCCCGTTGGAGCTGTTAGGCTTGCTTTATTCATTAACTAGGCTGAAGCTGAGTTAACGTTGGAGTGAGGCACTCCAGATGGGTGGCCCTGGAGATGACCTTTTTTGATAACACAAAGAAAGCTTTGGCTGCTTTTCTTGCTGCCATCTTTGTTCTCTATCTGTCACATGTTGTGAGTTATCACTGATGGCCTTTATTAGGTGGTGGCCCTTTGCAGTCCAAGTTATTTAAGAAAGTCTTTAAAAGATTTTATTACTTAAGCCTCGCTGGTTTGACCTAACAGTGGAGATGTCAGTTGACACACTGTGCTGCATTGCAAATTTGTTAACTACTTAATTCCTACCCGAACAGAAAATTTGAGAACAAGTTGTGTTGAAAGAGACTCTTGTCAAGCAACAGTGACAACAGTCTGCCCCAGAATGAGATTATTTGAATGTTTTCCTTTTTATTTCTTTGATTGAGATCAGCATAGTAATACATACATGGGAAATTGATTTATTGTTTTAAATGATGAATGAAAGCTGTTTTGAAGACTTGTTCTTAATTTATAAACCCAATGACTAAAATTTTATCAGCTACTGAGCTGTTGAAATCTTTATATAAAACATCTAGTTGTAAATAAACACACTTAAGCATGAGAGACAAATAACTTGTAAGTAAACATACTTTTATATATAAGAGAAATCCTTAGCAAAACTTTTAACTTGGCTTTTTATTTAATACAGCAACCCTAATGTTGTTTTTTTCTGTATTTATTTAATTCTATCCAGGATGAGCTTGACATGCGTCTCAGAGATCTTTTGGTTCCTAGTAAATAAAAGATTGCGTAACATAAAATTAAAGAACCGTATCTGTAGGATTTATAAATATATAACAGATGAGCAAAAACTGCAGTCAAACTTAGTGTAGAGTTATCGTTTGTTTCAAATCAACTTCCAGATGAGGAGAATTCACCTTTTCTCCAGTCACACTAAAAGATCTCTGTAGCTTGATAGAAACTAAGGGCTTGTGGCATCAGTTTTTGGTTGAGATTCTCTGGCCTTTTTTTATATGAGGCAAGAATTGACCTTCAGGGTCCCTCTTGGCTCCTAGCGTTAATCCCTTTGTGGAAATGATCATGAAGTAACAGCTCTTAGAGCCTAACAAAGAACTTAAAATTGTTGACATTTGTTTTCCTATTATGAAAGTGACTTAAAATGTTGACCCTGTGTTTGAAGGCATTGCATAAATGTAATAACATATTGTCTGTAAATAACATGGAGGATATGAAACATACTGAGATGCCTGTATGATGCCTAGAATTAAAGATAGCCATGGAGCATGCTGACAATATGTCGTTTTATTCTTCTAAAATATGTTAACCAGGTTATGGTTAAAAGAATTTAAAATGTGTCATTCTGAGCTATTTGTAACTGTTTAAGTTCTGTGGGAGTCACTTTTACAAAAAATGTGGTTATATACTGTAAAAGATGGGGTTTGGATTTTCTTTATGCATCAATCTTTTATGCTGTATTTCAAAGCAAATAGGAACAGACGGAGGTTTGCTTTTGATACAACACAGCGTTTAAAACTCTAGTGTTGTGAGAAGGATATGTATTATTGAAAGACTTTAGCATGGAGGTTTTTTGTTTTCAGTGTAAAGTTGCATTAGGATAATATTTTTTATCATGCTGTTAGAGATCAAAGTGTTAGTATAATAAAAATCCTCTTTGTCTAACGTATCTAAATACATAGTGCTAGCTTGCATACTGCGCTCCTTACTTCATGATTAACCAAGAATTGACTGTGGGCTGTCTGCCAGTAGGACAACGGTTTGTCTCTCCATGTGGGAAGAGCATCTTTTGCTGGCACAAAATGGGATTTTACCATTGCCAGGAGTCAGTGATGGCTTCTTAACTGTTGGTTTTGTCTGTAGCAGTTTATCCTGTGTGGAGAACATGTCCTTTATTAAAATCATTCAGTAATGATCCTGAGTCTGTAGTGTCTCACCAAGATGAGCAAATGTGATGTCTTTGTGTGTGTGTGTGTAACATTGCCGTATCTTTGTATCCATGATATATCTATATGCACATGCAAGCACCTAAACTGACATGTTGAGAATGGAAAGTAAATTCTTCACCAACTGTTGTTGGCCTTGCGTGGCTAATGTGGTTGTGCTAGTGTCCTCAACAAAATATACTTAGAAGTGCAACCAACTAAGCACAGATAACAGACCACTGAAAATACATATAGTAGTATGTAGTTTCCTACGAGATTATGCCAATTCCATTGTTTTTCTTCAGATACGCTGCAATAAATGCACAGAATCTGTAGAAATAATTTCATAGCGAAGAATTACATAAAATTTAGTGTAAATAAGGCTAGTCAATATGGAACATGAATTTGTTTAAGGTAACGGTCTGTTAATATTTTTGTAGCACAAGATAATATACATCTGTAGAAATAATTTCATAGCGAAGAATTATATAAAATTTAGTGTAAATAAGGCTAGTCAATGTGGAACATGAATTTGTTTTAAGGTAACGGTCTGTTAATATTTTTATAGCACAGGATAATATAAAAACATAAATAGACTTTGGAGTTCAAGCCGAATTTGCCAATCTGCATTGATATTAAATGCAAGACATGTTGTGTGGTGAAGATCACCCGGTGCACCTTGTGTAGCTTTTAAAAAAATATCCGTAGCTTTCAGAGTATTTTGGATGCACAAATGTTAAGAAGAGGCACTT